GTGAAAGCAACCTGGAATCTGATCTTAGGTTAATTGGTAGACACGAAAGTGTTATTGATTTTCTGAAAATAATCTAGATGAGCAAAATACCTATTCGCAAAGAGATTTGGTTTAGGGATTTTGTGAACTTATCAAACCTGAATTAAATGCATGTCTTAAACTTATAAATTTGCAAAGAGATTTGGAATTTATGGTTCTAGACATAGATAGTCTTTGCAACGAAAGTTGATTGATTATAATTTTGTGATTTGAGTTCAAGAACGGTGCTTTATAAATCCTGACAATTATTTATTTGTAATTCTGAATTCCTGAGAATATCCCTAGGCCTAGCGTTTCCTCATTATTGTTTTATAACCAATCTTTATTTTAATTTGCTGTTTTTATTTGATTTAAAACCTGCTTGCTTAGCTTAATTTTAATACCGAATATTTACTGTGTAATCTTTGAGTCTCTGTGGATTCGATCCCTAAGTACTACAGTGATCTCTTAATTGAGAGAGTAGCTCAGGGCAAATTTGAGCCGATCACCTATATCAAAAGGAGATAAGTCAGTGACATTGAAACTTTTAGACCCGTTATACTCACCTGGGAGTTCTAGCTGGTAAGCGTTGTTGTTGATTCGTTCGACTATCTTGAAAGGTCCGCCGCCGCGAGGGGATAGTTTGGAACTTCTCTTCGTTGGAAACCTCTTGGTTCTCAAGTGTAACCAAACCCAATCGCCTGGTTCAAAGATGACTTCCTTGCGGTTCTTGTCCATCCGTTGCTTGTATTTTTCCGTCTTTTTCTCCAAGTTCTCCTTGACGGTTTGGTGTAGCTTTTGGACTAATTCCGCCTTGCGTTTACCGTCTTGATCGGTTCGTGAACCCGGGGGTAGTGGTGCCAAATCCAGCGGGGTTAATGGTTTAAAGCCGTAAACAACTTCAAAAGGACAAAACTTAGAAGCGGAATGAGTAGCTCGGTTATAAGCAAATTCAATGTACGGTAAACATTCCAACCAATTTCTAGGATTCTTACCGACCGTTACTCTAAGTAAAGTTGATAGAGTACGGTTTACAACCTCGGTTTGGCCGTCCGTTTGTGGATGGCAAGTGGTGGAG